TTTCCACTTCGTTCAGTTAGCTCTAACTCTATGAGTATGATCTTAAAAAAGAATAATTAAAATAATATCCTCTTTATATTATTTGTTTATGTACTATTAAAAATATCACATAAAATAAATCAGTCATTTCACTAAATCTTCTATATATAAAACACGAGCAAGTTTGGGAACAAGTGTCAATCAATAAATTGTTTTCAAGGTTAGGAGATTGGTTTGGATAAACTTTTATATTTATCATGTACATAATTGTGATGATATACATGGTCAAGCATCATATTGCAATATCTATTACATAGTAAGTTCACATAAAACTACTTGTGTACCCTCGGGTATATTTTATTTCGATTAAAAAATAGATATATATATAAAGTAATGATTCTATAAGACCATCCCACACCCATGTGTGTAGGACCCAAAATGATCAACATTAAATTTGGCAGAGATCTCTAGAAAAATTAAGTCTCACACCTATGTGATAACTTTTCTAGATATCTACGACAAATTTAATGATGATCATTTGGGGTCCTATAAATATGGGTGTGCGAGGGTCTCATAGAATCATTTACTATATATATATAATTCTACAAAAAAAAAAAATTAATTTTTTAAACTAAAATTATTTATTTGTGATTAAAATGAATTTCTAATATTAGATATAAAATATACTTATCAATTGTGATAGAATAATAGTATAGTAAGTGCTCTTATAAGAGCATATTATACAAATTTTCAAAACAAAAAGAGTATAGCATTTATTGCCACATAATGTGACAAAAGTAACAATAATTACTTTGTATTTTGTACAAAATGACCAACATCTTTAACGAAAAAGTCAAATGAGTCTTTGAGTAAATAAAAAAATAATGGATGAAGTTTCTATAAGGCCTAGGCTTAATAAAAACAAAATAAAGCCTCATATCAAATCCTCATTCAAGAAAGAGCTCCCGGCATAAAAAATCTTCATAATGGCTCTAAAATCAATTTTCAACACCAACAATATAATTTGAAACTTAAAAAATGCTAACACTTATTTTTAGGGTAAAATGGACAGTTTAGATGATTTGTTGCAATATATATTATTTTTAATGAATTTAAAATCCCAAATTTTTTCACAACCATAACGTTTAAGCCGAGATGATCGATTTAAATGTTTTTCAATACTTGAAGTGCAATATTTGATGAATTATGAGGTGAGAGTTTACTTATTTTGATAGGACTGTAGCCCTATAAACCATCACTCTATAGAATAAAAAATCATATCTAACTTACTCAATTTACATTTATAGCATTTCCTAACATTTGTTTGAAAAGATACAGTAATATACATAAGGTAAAATTTCTTAATAACCATTATTTCAACGAAAAGATAACAAAATGTTTAATTATTTAAAATGAAGTATTTCACTAATTTATAATTTCTTAAGTAAAAATTCTCTAAAACAAAATTCATTTTTCTATAAAGCAAATATGTTGTAAGTAATTTTAACTTACATATTACTCGTATGTTATAAATTAAATTATGAATATTTAAAATATAAAATAATTTCACTTTATGAGCAATTTTGGAAGATCAAAACTTAAAATCTTAATTAATAAACAAAGTGAATTTAAAATGTATAATTATACAATATGATGAATTGGGGATGCTCAGCATGGTCAGTTGCTTCCTTTTTAATTATCATTGTTTATTTGAAAATATAAGAAATCTTTATCATTTTGAACAAAATCTTTTACCTGCTTATAATTTTATTAAGGGAACTTCTCTAAAATAAATATGGGTTTTATAAAAAATTTCAATCTAAATTAAGTAACTTATAATTTTTATTAATTTTAAATATTTATTTTGAAAACTATAAATTTCATATAGCAATGATTTCAAATTTAATTAATAAATAAATTTAAATTTATAAATATAAATTAAATTTCATAATTGGCCAATGTCATAATTAATAAACAAAATTAAATTTAAATGGATTTTTATTCATAAATTAAATTATTTTTATAAAATGTATACAAAAGATCAGACATTTTTCTTTATTTACTTAGCACTTTCACGATCAAATAAATAGGCACATATATCTACCTAACTTTACAGTATAGATGTACAAGATTTTACATGGTCATATGTAACTTAAATAATAATAATATCATTACAAAATGTCAAGTATTTCGTCATGCACATGATCCCTCAACCAAAAATCCTATGTATAATTAAAAATAATAAAATTCAATTATGTTATTTAAAATATCCATTGAAATATATATCCTTAAATTATAGAAATACGAAATCCTATTAAGTAAGAAAATAAGTACTTATCGAATTGGAAGATTAAAATCATGGTTTTTAAAACCAGTTTTAAATGAATACTACATTCATGATAACTTTTAAAAATAAATTTGGCACAAGTTAAGCAGGTAGCACAACATAGTGCCACCCATAAAATGATATGTCGTACTAATGTAAAATTAATTAAAGTGAAACCTACAATGTAGTCTGGCAAAACCATATTAAGGAACTTCTATTATTTAACTTCGAGGCAATCCAACACACATGCCCATTTAAATTCTATAATAAAAAATATATGAAGTTCAAATAAATTATAGATTTATTTTAACTTCTTTAAAATAAATTTTACGTGCTACTACAAAAATGAAGTGTTGCATTATTCTAAGCAGAAGTTTATTTAAGATTACTAAATAACTCAACACCAATCTTTGATGAGCATCCAAATTATGGTAAAATAAAATTCTTTTAAAACAATAGAATGTATATTTCAGAATAAAATTATTATATTGTAAATTATATTCATACAAGGTTATTAATTTATCATTTTTCATATATTGCAGTTGAACATAAAAGATTAAAATTGTCATTTATATATTATAATCTATAATTTATAAATATGTAACCAAAAAATATATAAGTTGTAAATACATATTTGTAAATTATAAGTAATAACTTATAAATATTTAAATTATTTTTTATAAGTGATAATTTTAATTATATTTTATAAGTTATTATTAATTAGGAAAAACTCTTAAAAAGTTGATTAATAATCTAAATGTCTTAAAAAATACAACATTAATTACAAACAAACTTACAATATAGTACGCGAGGACCAAAATAAAAAACTTCTAATATTCTACGCAAATTAAAGCATAAAGCCCCTATGGTAGGGTTTAATGTACATATCCCCTTAAAATCTATAATGAACATATGTCTATTTTAAATAAATTCTACATTCATATTGACTTCTTTAAAATAAATTTCACAAAAGTCAAGCAAGTAGCACAATATAGTACCAACACAAAAATGACACATTACACTGCTATAAATTAAAAACTAAATATAAATCATATAAAAGTCCAGACCGACTTCTACATTTAAACATTATAATAAAACAATGAAAAAGCTTATATAGAGCCGAGGCCCTAAATAATCAAATTAGAGCTCACTTCAAAGATTTCACTAGAAGAGGCTGTTTTGATGCCCACATATCCTCAAATTGATCATCTCAATATCAAGATGCATGGACAAGAAAAAAAATGGATTTCAAGCTTTGAAAATAATGCATAATGTAACGCATTTTTGAACCGTCAATTTCAAGATTTTCAAGTTTTTATGTATCTGCCTGATCTACACTATTTTTGAAGCTTTAAATTTTATAATTAAAGATAAAAATATATTTGAAGGTTATCACAAAGATTTCCAGTATGAAATCCACATTTCTTGACACTATTTGAAGGTGTGTTTCACTTTGATATTTTAGAGCCTTGGCTTTATGCAAACCACACCCATAAAACAATGTGCCCAATTTAAAATAAAATCTATATTTATGTTAATTTCTTTAAAAAGTTGTGCGTAGAACAAAATATTGGCACCAAACAAAGACACATTTAATTGCCCTAGGCAATCATTTACTTACAATTAATACTTCTTTAAAATAATTTAACACAAGTCGAGCGGGGTAACACAACATAGTACCACCACAAAGAAGACACGTTCCACTGTTTTATATAGTAGTTTACTTCAAATTAATATTAGTTGAATTTTGAATCTTCATCAAATATTTATACCATTATCAGTATAATACCAATTTATCTGTCCAATTATAAAATTTTAGTTTTTAAGTTTCATTTGTTCTAATTCAATATAAGTTACACATGTTATTCTTACACGTTCTTAAATTGAAAATTTTTTACTACTGTTTTCTACTAAGTATTTATAGAGCCACTCATTGTTGACATCTAAACTCATCACATAAGTTAAGCTGGCAACACAACATATCATCATGACAAATATATTTCAAGACAACCTATATTTTTTATGCCAAAATTACATCTTATGATAAAGTTTGATTGTGTGCCTTATTTAAGGTTACAGCCTTATATAAACCACACTCTTATAAAAACCTTCTGATTTATTTTTAAAAAAATTAAATCACGTGGGAATCACATGAATTCCGCTAGTAAACGTCTAACAACACAAAGATATGGATATAGTCACATTTTCTTATTCAATGTATTATCTTTTACCATTCAATATATTATCTCTCAAAATATTTCTGGCAAATCAAATTTCGTAAAACATTTTAATGAGACTTAAGAAACATGTGTATCTTACTAGCAATGCAAAACTACGGAGTATCGATTCCTACAACTTATTGCTAGTGTGAACTTTTGGAATACCTATTTCTAGAATTTTTGTTGCATAGTTAGTGTAGGAATCAAACATGACCTGTAGCATTGCTTAACATAACGGTACTGCCAACCGTTCAAGCCCGAGCCCGAGCCCGAGTCCAAGCCAAAACTCGATCCCTAAAATTCCCATACTCTTTAAGGATAACACTGAAGTCACTGAGATCATCGTGCAAATTATTAAGCAAAGGTCCGCATTTTCCGTATCCCCGAGCCGTGCCGAGCCGTGCCGAGCCGAGCCGTGCCGTGCCGTGCCGTGCCGTGCCTTGAACGAGGGTTTTAAGTATGTAAGAGTAGGAAGGGAAAACCAGGTACCCTTCTCTCTGTGGCTTAACCCCCCACCTTCCCGAGAAGAGAGAGAGAGAGAGCGGAGGCGTGTGTTGTGGTGAGGTGGGGTTATTCGATGGGAAGCGCCGCAGTGGAGAAGACGGCGGAAGAGCTCCGCAAGGAGATCGAAGAACTCAACCGCCAACAATGGGAGGTACTAACCATTTCTCTCTCTCACTTCATCATCTCACAGTCCCTCCCATTTTATTCTGATGGTTTTTTCTTTATACCATCTCTCTCTTTCTCTTTTGTGTTTTTCAGATCACAGAACGTCTACGCGATCCAAGAGGGTTGAGGCGCGGCTTGGCGGCCAACATTTCGAATGCGAATGCCACTGGCATACACACGCGCCGCAATCATTCAGCACTGACCAATCCTCCTCGACGCCCACGAGGAGTTGTGAGACTTAAATCTCCTGCCTTTACTTCTCTCTCTGTCACCTCTCCCTGTTCTTACCCAGTTGACTTTAATGATGTACTCGTTTTGTTTGCAGCCAGAGAGAGATAGAGCCGATGCCGAGGGTGATGACCAACCTCCTCCCAAAAGGAGGCTCTCTTCAGCTGTTGTGAAGGTATCCTTTTGGCAGGTTCTCCCTTTATATTTGCTTCTCTCTTTTTTCATCCAAAACCCTTGCCAATTTGCTTGCCTTTTTGTTATGCAACCCAAAGGTCAAAGATGGAGAACTTGTGGATGATTCGAAAGAGAAAGCGATCAACAACGAGCAAGCAGATAAGGAAGATGGTGCAGAGGATAATTTCATTGATGATAAGAGGCTGCAGAAGGGCCCTGCTGGATTAAGGCGTGATAGTGGCAGGACCTTTAGGGCGGTAATCTCTTATTGAACTGTGTTTGCTCTTGTCTCCATTTATGTCAGTGGTTCTTCACTTTTATGTATATTAGTGCTGGCTATTCGTTTTGATCGTGGTCATGATGGAATTATGGTTTGCGAGTAACACAAGCTATGTTGCTTTGTATTATTATTATTATTAGTTTCTTTATCGAGTTCCCTGTATGTGTGTGGGAAAGTTAATTTCTATACAATCTTCTTTTTGCTGTATTGCATTGTTCTGGTCTTGGAGGAATTGATTTCAATCTCATTTCTGTTTTCATTTTCGGCCAGTAAATTTTGATGCAATCTCTTCATAGCAGTGCTACTGAGAGTACTAGTTGCCGTACGAGGTTTGTTGATCTAGAGTTTTGTGATTGCACAGGATGTTGAAGCTTTGCCTGTGGATCAGGTTCCTAGAGTATTGCCGAAGGATGAGGATCCCAACTTGGTAAAAAGAAATAAAAGGATGTTTGTACAGCTGCTGGGAACATTAGAGGTACAATAAACTTTTGTGTATGTTTGTAGATGCTGGAGTCGCATATCTTTAAGTCAAGTCTTTTCTTGGTCTTTTGGCCCTACACTTTCATAAGTGAATCCAGTTTCAATTGCACTGGACATTTTGCCTAGTTTGATGAGGAGCGAGGGAGGGAGGCAGGCCTGTACCATCTGTATTTGAGAGAGGAAGGTCTCCAAATGAGCTGCCAACTAAAACAGTGGATTTGTTGAATAGTACATGCATACATATAGTAAAATATAATTAATTTGACTTTAAATTGAAGTAGTTTTAGAACTGATTGCAATTTGTTCTGATCTGGCAAACTGGTCAGTTTGATAGGACTGGCACACGCACCCATTCCAAATGTAGTTTTGTTTTAATAACATTTAGCAAACTGGTCTATAACTTTTAATTGTCTTTGATAACGTTCAATGATTTGGAAAATGGATTTGTACTTTTAATTCAGAAGCCTCTTGCTTTTATGTTTTTATTTAGTAGGGGTTATTTTTGGGACAATGCTCGTGTTCATTTCTCAAGACAGAACCTTTGTGCACATGTTTCCTTTTGAAGAAAAGATGATCCAATCTTTTTTCTTGAATTTCTCAATGATATGATTTTTGGTGTTTGTTGATGCGATAATTGATTTTACGTGAAGAATATGTTCTTTCAAATAGAGTTGCTTCCCTTCACAGGGTATGTTCTGATTGCATATATTACACGAAAGATTTTTGAATGCAGTTTTACTTTCTGGGAACTGAAAATGGTCTTCATGTGAAGTATTATGAATTAACAATTGGTGAAGAGGCCACGTACAATAGAACACAATTACTAGGAGGGGTGAAAACTAAACAGCTCCTTTGTTGTGATTAGTAAATAAAGAGCACAATTTTTTGTCATGATTAAGATTAATCTGAATGTTTTTATATTAATATAAATCCAATTGTTCCCTCTATTTCCTCTTTTATAATGAATTATTACTGGCGTAGTGCATATAACTAAGGAAAGTGTGGAAAATTATTGGTCTCACATATCCTGTTGTTATAAAGTGCTTGTGCTGAAACAATCTTAGTTCAAGATTTTCCTTTACTGTCTATTATGACATAAAATCCACACTTCTCTCTATATTTTATCTTTTGCACTGGTAGGTGTTTGTTTTGATGAACTTTAGAATGGTGGTTAGGGAATTGCTGCCATTTAACACACTTTTCTTTTGGCAAAACAGAAATTTCGGGAGGAAGACATGCATTTGTCATCAACAAAGGCATACATGCGCAGATCAGATTCATTGCGAAGAGTGCGTAGCCATCTTCCTGGAATCTATATTGTATAATTGAAGTTATTGCAGTTATTGAGTAATAACTTAAATTTATTTGCTTTATAATGAGGTAGCTAATGTTTGTGGGTTATGGGTTATGGATTTCTTGTTTAAACTACTGGTCGATTACTCGGATTTCCTTCATGTTCATTGAAGTGGTGGATATCTGTCTGGAATGTTGTGTTTAACCCTTTCTTTGACCATTGAACAGCCCTTGCGGTCTTTTATATCCTGAGTTCTGTTTATTAGTGAAGCATGATCTAACTGCATTCTTTGTCATATATTGGTATTTCTGATGATATATAACAAAGATTGGATGTTAAATGGTCATCTCTAGGAACATTCAGTTTAATAATTCAGCATAGAATGGGCAAAGGTTTATTTACATCTCTAGTATGTTGATGGTTGATGGAGCTTTCTATTATAATCTCATCGAAGTCTTGATGAATTCATGATTACTGTTATTATAATTTTCTCTTTGTGTAGCTTTGTCCATTCATTGGTGCTTCATTTTGTATCTGAAATGGAATAATAGAGTTGCATGATGTGCCTTATAAGGATTAAAGGATTCCAGCGTTGGCTAAATGTAGTGTTGATGTTTGCAATACTACATTTACTTAGGAGCGCCGGCCTACCTAAAACAATGATTGTGATTATGATCTAGGTTTATTATAAAAAAGGGGTTTTGATTTCTAAGTGGAACCCTATGCAACAGGCAAATGGAAAATGCACTTCATCCTTTAGTTCTTGAAACTTTAAACAAAATCAATATCATCTGAGAATTAATTGTGCAAGTTTGTGAGTTCTTGGTTAGAACTAACGATAATTTATGACGTTGAAGGGTGGAAGTTGGATGATTATTCTTCTTCCTTGTAAAATAAAACATTAAATGATTCTAGTCACTTGAAAATTTGATTGATTTCTTGGTTTTGATCATTGAATCCTATCCTAGGCCACATATAGAAGCCCTAGACCCCACTTTGGAGACTTCCTATACACCTAGGTTTGAGATTACTAAAACACCCTCAAAGCCCTAAAACTCAGTTAAAGCTAAGCCTAGTCCAACTCTACCCAAATGACTTGTAACCTATACTTTTTTTTGTAGGAAATTGGACCAGCATTCCGACGTTCCAAGTCCAGTGTCTATTTGATATACTGTTTGAAGGTTATGGCATTGGTTTCACTAGGTTATATACATTATGTACCAGACTCACCACAAGGTTTATGTAACCTCAAATTTTGCATCATAATTGTATTGCACTCCCTTGAGAACTCCCTAAAATCTTCTAGAAGCTTTCTGTGTGTGTTGGTACTTGATTTGATGTGATTTTATTCTAGAAGCTTTCTGTGTGTGTTGGTACTTGATTTGATGTGATTTTATTATGAAATTGTGGGCGTCCATCGGAAAAATGTACCTTGCATGAGGAAAACTTCCCACCACCGTGATGAAACAAGTATTCCAAAATAGCTGAATTATCCAGAAAAAAAAAATCTGGTTTTGTGCCTAGAGTCACCCTGAGAACTTCTTACAATCCTTTGTTTCCCATGACCGATGATGCATCCAAAGAGATGACAATATCCTTTTTTCCAAGGTGGTTAAATGGCTTTTTGGCAGGACACGAGATGGAGGTTGTAGGCCACAAGAGTTTCTCTCATCTCCCGCTTGTGAGCATTCAACCCTCCTGGAACTCTCCTTGCTCTTCCAGCACCACACCTGTCTCATCACCTTTCGCTCACTAAAACTTTACAAAAATCTCTCTCAAGGCTCTGTGCCCTCTCACCACTTTCTCTCATTCTCAAAGTCTTAAACCCTCAACAAAAAAAATCGTGATCGACTATAGTGGTGGATGTCACTCTATATAGACATGTGTAGGGAATGGTTTGGAATTCAGGATTTTGTTTTCCTTGGGAAGTGGGAAACCTTAGAGGTGAGAGCTATAATCTCAATCATCAACTCGTGATTAGCCATCATGATACAAGGGCTAGATTTACACTCTTATCCCTATGGGCTCCTCCCATCAATCTTCCAAATTTTGATAAAAGTTCAACTCTAGAAACACTAGAGCTAGTTTTCAATATTCTATGCCTCCTTATGAAAAGACTTAGTTCAGGATATTTTATTATAGGCCTATTTGGGTTAGGTAAAGGAGGGTAGCACATAATAGGTGAGCCAGGAGATTCTGTTGGAACAATTTCCATCTTTCATTTTCCTTTATTTTGATTATTCATATTTATATTGTTTATTTGTTGTTGCGCCTGATTTTCTGAGCTAGCTTGGTCCCTGTCCCCCCTGCAAAAATTCACGAGTTAAAAAGTCGGGGAGAAAGTTAGTAGATCCTTTAAGATGTTCTATAGTAAAATCAAAAGCAGATAAAATAGCTTGCCATCAAGCAAATATTTGTTTAGAAACTAAATTTTTAACATCTTTTTGGAGAACATCTTTAGCTGCTTTGCAGTCAGTTCAAATGAGAAATTGTTGATTTAAAAGGTCACTTTGGAAATTTGTAACACAATGAACTATTGCCAATATTTCCTTTTTAACCGTAGAATAGTTTTGCTGAGTACTATTCCATGCTTATGAAGTAAATCGTACAAGTTGTTCTTTATTATTTATTTGTCGTTTAAGTATACCACCTAAACGAATTTCAGAAGCATCACATTCAATAATCTTGAAAGCTGTAGGATCTGATAAAGTAAGGCAGGGTAATTCTTTAATTTTTATTTTTATTGCCTTTACTGCTAAAGTATGGGTGTCAGTCCATTTTGGAGGATTCTTTTTTAATCTATCAAATAAGGGTTTTGCTATTAAAGCTAGATTTTCATAGAAATCAGATATATAATTCAAACATCCTAAAAATCGTTGAAGTTCTGTTTTATTAAGAATGATGTCCGGAAATTTATCAGCGAATTCTATTGCCCTATGAATAGGGACAATGCTTCCTTGATAAATATTATGTCCTAAGAATCTTATTTTGGTTTGGCATAAACTAATCTTTTTTGCAGATACAACCAGACCTGCAACTTTGACTGTATTAATAAAACATTTAAATGTTTAAAATGCTGTTGCATATCTTTAGAGAAAATTAAAACATAAACAATTATAAATTTCATATTTTAAAGATATCGTTCATTATGTTATGGAATTCAGAAGGAGCATTTTTTAAACCGAACGGCATTACATTCCATTCATATTGTCCAAAAGGTACGTTAAATGCAGTTTTACATCTATCTTCTTCAGCCACTTGTATTTGCCAGTAACTTGATTTTAAATCGAATTTAGAAAAAATGTATGCATTAACTAATCTATCAAATAAATCCTTTTTATTTGGTATAGGGTTACCTTATCCATTTTAATACTTTATTTAAAGGCTTATAATTAATTACTAGTCTTGGAACTCCTTTTTCTTTTTCTGCTGCTTTTTCTACATAGAAAGCTGAGCAGCTCCAAGGGGATGAGCTTTTTCTAATTAATTTCTTTTTTATTAAGTCATCAATTTCTTTTTTACATATTTCTAAAAGTCTAGCGTTCATCTGGATTGGTCTAGCCTTAGTGGGTATATGTGATTCTTTAAAGTCATCTTCATATGGTAGTTTTACTACATTCTTCTCTATGTTCCAGAATGCATTAGGCAGCTCATTACAGAGTTCCTTTTCTATTTGGTTTTTAATATTTTCTATTTTTGATTTATTTTCAGGTCTTAAAAGATCTTCCTCAATTTTTTTATATTTTATTTCTGTTTTGAGGTAGCACAGAAATTTCTCCTTGTTATCTATTGATGTTTTTATATTATTGATTTCTTTAATTTTAGGTTTATCAATAAATTCAAATTTAACAGTATAACCATCTATTGTAGATTCTATTCCAGTACTATCTATTTTTAAAGGGTAAAGCAAGTTTAGGATTGGTGTTCCGAGAATTACTGCTTGACTCAAACCTCTTACCATAATAAATGACATTTCGAAACAATTACCATTATTGCATATAGCAGCCTTTTATAATTTATACTTAATAATCAACTTACTACCATCAGCTGTGTTTAATATTTGAGTAGTCTTTTGAAAATATATTGTAGGGACTAGTCCTTCGTTTATGCAGTTCAAATCAGCTCCTGAATCTATTAATGCAAGAGATTGAAAGCTGTATTCTACAATTATTCTGATTAACACAAACCATTTTTGGGTTATTACTCTATTTAATATATTTACATAATTATTGTCCTGTAAACCTTTATCAGAGGTTTCAGGGATTTCATCTTTAGGTGAGTCTTCGAGAGCAATATTTTTATGGTATCTTAATAAATTATCAAATTCTAGTTCATTGTTAGTACCTATATCTGATTCAGAAAAATCATTAGCCATTTTTAATATTCTAATTCTATTTTTTAATTGTTGAATTTCTGTTTTAACTTCATTTATTTCATGTTTTAATTCAGAAACAGTTGGTTCTTTTTCTACAGGATTTTTCTTGTTAAGTCGCTTGAGTATTTCATTTAAACTATATTCTTCGTGTGGCTTAATGATAGAAGCTGGTTTATTTTTTGATTTAGCAATATGGATATATTGTGTTAAAGCATTTCTTTTAGCTTCTGGATCTGGTAATTTATCTATTAAGTCTATAATTAGATTTTCTTCATTGGTTAAGGTATTAACAGATTTACAGGTACAAATCTTCTATTTTCATATTTGATTCTGAATCCGAACTAGTAAATATGAATTCTTCATCTTCTATTCTCTCTATTATAGTGTTTTCACTAGAAGTATCAGATTCAGATTCATCTTCTTCTATATTATTTAGCTGACTGTTTTTAAAGGCTTCTTCCATCTTGTTTATATTTTCAATAGAAATTATTTCTTCTTGAAGGACCATAGCTTCATATTCTATAATTTTTCCTTTTGCTTTTTTATCTTGAATATTTAATTGTGCTAACTTTTTTACTAATTCATCTAATAATTCTTTATTTCCTTCGTTGTTTCTCATT